CACATGGGCGATATATACACCCGCGATCGAGACAGGTACATACCTCGGAGAGTGCTCTCGATGATGTTGAAATTTGAGATGTTTGAAAGGAAGTCAGCAGCGCGTGGTGCGTATGGATTCTGCTTGTCCTGTGGCACGTATGGCCTAGGAGCAGTACCACGCTTTCCTGATGATGGCTGGGTGAGAGGAACCTGGACCATCTCTTCGTTGGCGGGGAGGGTGTCTGCGTTCTGATGAGGGCACATTTTTTTGTTTTATGAGGGACGGGAGGAGGAGGTGGTAGTTGTAGACTGTTGCTAATTGAAATCAGTCTTCCTATAAAAGTTTTCGTAAATTTTGAATCTGACTCGGCGTCAAGAGGACATAATCACGTGATCTTATCGGCCGATCATCTTTGGATGCATCAGCTTCTCTGACGTCGTCAATCAATCAATAATTGTGGTCTAGGCACTCAGTTGTAAGTACCGTACCTCTTATGAGTCAACCTCGATAGACTATCTAACATACGGACGATAGTGAGTGAGGTGCAGGCAAAACAGGAAACTCGAGTTAGTCCTAAGGCCTAAGGGTTTAGTAGTGGCGGAACTCTACCTTTTACCACACGAGCTACGTTTTATGCCTCACAAGTTTTCGTTACCTCTTAAGGCTTGTCGTTGCTCTTAACGTCACGTTACATTATGAATCTTGAGGTATTTTAATACAACGAATGACTTGGAATAAACGTGAGCCACAGCAGGGCACGGGGGAAACATATTGATCATCATTTGCCAAGGTCGCGAGTATCTATCCTTGATACAGACAGGTGATTCTTGTTCCATTTTCCAACGGCTAGAATACATACAAACATACATCGCCATTCTCGACGAAAGCCCCTACAGGCTACGCTCCGATGGCCTCTGCCACAGGAGCAGCTGCAATGACCTTCTCTTCAACTTTCTTCGTGACCTTGACTTCTGTAGCAGCCTTTGCATCCGTAGCCGCCGGGTGCTCGAGCTTTGCCTTCTTTTTCTTCTTAAGAAAGGCTAAATAAAAATGTCAGGCCAAGCCCGCCTATGTTGTTGGTTGGAAAACACTTACCGGCAGATACTGCGTTTTTGACATTCTCAGTGAGTTCCCTACTCTGTTCGAGGAACTCTGTATCGTCAAACCGGTGCTTTGTTCCAGCTAGAACAGGCGGTTGCTCTGTCGCGCTTCGAGATGATTCCCCCGGCTTGTTATTGGTGTCCTTTGATGGGATGATACCAAGTTTGCGCTCGAGCGCCTCGAGCTTGGCTTTTTGTGCTGCGGCTTTTGCAGCCACTCTCTCAGGCTCAGATTCAAGGTATTCAGCCAGTCTAAGGTACGAATAATTCTTTAGGACAATGCTTAAAAGTGGAATGGTAATAGAACATACTTTTTGGCCTCCTTGATTGTGCTCAACCGCCTGCCGCTAAGATCCCTGCATGAGTCATTGTTGCTTGTCTTTTGACTACTCATACGGCCTCCAGCGGCCCTCAGTTGAGACCCGAAGCCACCCTTTCCACCAATGAGCCGCGGCGTCAATCGAAGCGAAACAAAGTTGCGCGCTGAGCCTGCATTGCTATCCGCATCTGCATGTAGAGAGGAAACTGTGGCATCTGGAGGTATCTCACGGCCCCTATGTGTGGAAAGGACGAAACGAGAGGAGTCGCTGAGTGGGAGGTCGCGATAGCGTTCTTGGAGGATGGATGGGACTGCAGATACGAGTGTTGACGAGGGAATAGATAGGGTCAAGGATGGGAATGGCGAAAATGTTTGAATGAGGATAGACGTTGAAATGGAGGTGGCCATGGTGAACGATGAGGAAGACGAGTGTGGCACAGCGGAACTGGGCTTATACTTGTTTGGCAACGGCTTCCGAAATCAGCAGCTTAGTTCGTAACGCTCGCTTCAATTCAGTACCTTCCTTGTCAATGGTCGCGTTAATGGGAAGCTTGCAGTCCTCGCCTCTTGTCTGAAAAGATTTGAATTTCAACATTGAACCTGGGTCAGCGTCAACCCTCCTTGGTTAGCTTGCATCTTTTGGGTGTCCATCGGTGTCGCCCGGACTGACTTTGTTTTGCCGCCTATATTCCATCCTGCGACCATCCAAAATCTGATTCTTTGCCACTTGGAGAGAGTACAAATCCTCTATCCAAATTATGCTCGGAGTTCCGTGCCCTGGGTAGCCTGCGCCGTGCGGTTCTTATTTTTTACGACCATCAAATTAGACTTGGAAATCTTCATCAAGGCGTTGGATTTGATTGTTGATCCCAGATGATGCAACGAAATGAGCTCCTGGAGGCTGTGATGGATGATGAAACACTTGGCGGCACATGGAAAGGTATATAAAGATGCCTCCAGGCTAGGTGATTCCTCAGATTTGATATCTCATCCGCCCCCTCACCGTTGAACGGTCGTTTTCGTACACCTCTCGAATTATCAATATGATGTTCCGTGCCCTCACCGTTGCTGCCCTGGCTGGCTATGTTTCTGCAACCTCGTACGTCCCCATAGTCTCCACGGTTTTCCCTTTTTCAGTGAAGCTCACGAGACACTTGTACATGTAGATATTCGATTGGATGTATGTCTACACTCTTGGCAATTGGACAGAATGCGGACGCCCGTGCGTGCATAAAGCCTTCATCGCTCCTCCCAGTCCTTGTAGGAATGGGTAATGGCCCCGAGTCGATCGTCGGTTACCTTGATACATGGCTCGGGGATATGTGTGCTGCTCCGGCATGCAGTGACGCTACCCTCTCTGCGGTTATTACCAACCTCACTAACAGCTGCTCGGATGAATTCGGTCTCGACTCGTCTTCCATGCAACAGACCATTTCGTCCTTCCAGGCTGGGTACCAGACCTATCGGGATGTTGCGTGCTTGAGAGAGTAAGTGTTTTTCTTGTGTTCTGCTGTAAATGAGCTGAGAACTGATGATTATGGGTGTTTGTAGTACCAACAGCAGTGATATCAACTGTGTCACTGGGACACTCAGGAATATCGAGGCGATTACTGGTGCTATGAGCTTGAACGATACAGACCTCACTTCGATCTCCTCTGTCGCCACGAAGGGGTTCCCATCGAGTGTCGTGTGCACCAACTGCATGAAGGGCGCATACACTATCATCAATCAGAATCTACCGGGCACTATCGCGTCTAACGTCACCAGCTACGTAACCGGCCTCTGTGGTGCATCGTTCGCTAGTGAGTGACGTCCGGTTTTCGAGCTGCTGAACTTTGAGCTAATTTCGTTCCAGATGGCGGTATCCCTCCTGGTCTCGTCGAAACTGCGTACAATGCGTCGGCCGTCTCCACTTCCACTAGCACCTCAGCGGCCCCCGTGTATACCTCGACGTCGACATCGACACCCTCGCCCACCGCCACCCCAATAGCGAACTACAGCAATGGTGCCTTGAGCCATGCCTCGGTGTTGTCTTCCGGTGCAGTCTTGGCGCTTTCTGGAATCGTGGCGTTGTTCGTTGGGTTCGTGTAAGGATGGATGCTTTGGTGATTTTCTGTGTGTCGGGAGTGTTATAGGGTACCTACTGCACAAATTGGAAATATTCCAATCTCGAAATCTGAATTTGAGAGGCTAAATGCCCTCGGGGACCTAAGCTCATCATGATCCACTAGGTTGATATCTGTAGCTTTTCTAGGTCTCAATTTAGACACTACCTACAGTCGTACGCCTAAGCCCATTGTGGTAGTGGGAAGTGAGGGACTCGTGAAATGAGAGAGAAGACGGATTGGGAAAGACCACTTCCGCAATTGGAAATTTGTAGAATGAGAGGAGGAGGACGAATTAGGAAGGAGTAAAAGACAAACCTTAAATAAGTGAGACATTGTAGTAGTATAAAAGGCGCGAAAGAGCGTACGAAATAGCATTCCACTCTTGAACTCTAACCCCCACCATCTCTCTCTCCTCTCGAGTCTTAACGCTCGTCTTCATCTTTACTCTGGTAGACTCTGAGATTGCTTGGTGCTCGTTGATCGATTGACCGTTTGCTACCGCGTTTGCTTGGCTTATTGATCGATTGACTGACTGATCCCGTGGCTGTGTTTCCAGATCAGACACCATACATACTAGGCTAAGCTGTACTCGTCGTCTGTTGTTGTCTCGTTGCTACTACACGGTGTTTATACGCTGTGCTAGTGTGCCGGTCTTCTATCAGTAGGCGGTCTCCTCTCCCACACCATGTTAAGTGGATTGACTAAACACGAAATCATACATAGTAGTCATCTAACGTACATTGCGTACTGTACCTTGTCTAGATTTCCGGGAGCCCGTGAGGTAAAAGTTGCCACTCCAAGAAAGCCCGTAAATAACCCCTCCTGTTGACACATCTATGTCACCCACACTGCACATTCCTTCCACTCATGTTCCTTTGTTCAGTTGCCATTGGAGTTTCAGCTACGTCTTCGCTTCCTCCTGCCGCAACCGTTGCTAGTTCCAGTCTTGCATTTAACTGGTCAGTGGTTCATCCGATCGTCGTGGTGGCCATCCTGTAGTACGAGGCAGCAGGTTCAATCCGACGTAGAGGGATCGAGGGATCCAACCGTGCCGGAATGGTTCGGCCCATGGCCACCAACACTTCCAAAGTTCAATCCAGCAACGAAGAGCCACGCCGCAGCCATCATAAGCGCAAGAGGACAGGGTAGTCTGAGCCAGCTCTCGCTGCCAAACGATCTTCTAAACAACGTTATAGGTTCCATATTAAAATCGTTGATTCTGACCAGAACGACGCAGAAGGCTAATGAACAATGGGGCAGACTTGATGTTGGATGGGATCATCGTTAACTCAGTAGTCTGGGCATCGTCCGTGGCCATCGTCCGTGGCCATCGACATGGACAAAGACGGGAGTGAAGGAAATCGCAAAAAAGAGCCATAGTGCTTTGGCCAGGTTCAGCATGATATGATATTGGGATACAAGGTGTTGGATGGCGGAGATGGTTGAAAAGAAGAATGGATACGCCACTGATGAAGTAGAGTGAAGGTCAAAAACCAACGGCGGGGATCGAACCCGCAACCTTCGCCTTAGCACTTAATGGGTTGTTAACCCCATTAGGAAATAGGAAAGCGACGCTCTGCCATTGAGCCACGCTGGCTGTGGCTTAATGGGAATAGATACTAATGAAGACTCAACGCGACCTTTTACCATTTGAGCCACACAAATTGATCAAATCTCTCCGAATTCCGATCCGCTGAGCCCTTGCTTCCCCCCATAGATGACGTTCGTCAAAAGTCCAGAAGAACGCGTTGCTCACGCGTCCGCCTCGTCAGAACACGAGGAATATCAATATTTGCAGCTAATTCGACGCGTTCTCGACACTGGTGAAGTACGACCAGACCGTACTGGCACTGGCACCATCTCCATCTTTGCACCGCCATCCTTCCGCTTTTCCCTTTCCAACTCGACATTACCGCTTCTCACAACAAAGCGCACGTTCCAGCGCGGTATCATAGAAGAACTTTTGTGGTTCGTTCATGGTTCGACAGACTCTACGCTCCTTTCGAAAAAGGGCGTCAAGATCTGGGATGGAAACGGCTCGCGCGCGTTTTTGGACGGCAGGGGGCTACAACATCGTCGGGAAGGCGATCTAGGTCCTGTATACGGATTTCAGTGGCGACATTTTGGTGCTGAATACGTGGATTGTGACAAGGATTACTCTGGCGAGGGTGTTGATCAGCTGAAAGAATGCATAAAGAAAATCAAGGAAAACCCGACAGATAGGCGAATTATACTCAGCGCTTGGAATCCCAAAGGTCCGTGTCCAATGTAGTGTTTATCGCTACGCATCTGATAAAGTTCTTTACAGATATCCCACAGATGGCCCTTCCCCCGTGCCATATGATCTGCCAATTCTACGTTCATCTCCCACCATCCACAACGCCAGAGGCCAAACCGAAACTCTCCTGTCTCATGTACCAACGCTCTGCTGACCTGGGTCTTGGCATACCCTTCAACATCGCTTCGTACGCGCTTTTAACGCATATGATTGCGCAAGTCACTGGTACCGAGGCTCACGAGTTGATCATTCAACTCGGAGATGCGCATGTGTACCGCGACCATGTAGAGGCACTTGAGGAACAGCTCAAGCGAGAGCCTAAACCGTTCCCCAAGCTTCGATGGGCAAGAGAGGGGATAGATGATATCGAGGAGTTTACTTATACCGATTTCGTGATCGAGGGCTACGAGTCTCACCCAGCGATTGCGATGAAGATGAGCGTTTAATTGATTCCCAGATTCTTTAGCAATGTATTCCAATATCCCGTAGAGTTACTAGTTCTGTATGCTGGCACGCACCACCTTGTATAAAATGACATCACGTGAATTGACGCCCATGATGAAAGCTACGAAACATGGACTCCATCTGTGACCACCACCTTGTCGAACTGGGCTCTGCGCGCCATGGACAACGTTCGAGAGCTTTTTTCTACCATTTCTCCTGCATACCAGTGGCCTGCACAGTTCTGCGCGACTACGACGGTCGTGACATGGGTCGCGTCTCTCATCACTTCTAATGTTTCTCAAGTCGATCGCCTCTGGACGTTCCTACCCTTCATATACTCTGCATATTATGCTCTCTTACCGTTATGGCCACAGGAGCCTCTATTTTTCCTATGCCCTTTCACACCAAAGAGTCTTGGTTGGGCAACAGCGAGAGATTTTAGCCCAAGGGCGCTTCTGATGCTTGGGCTCATCTTCACATGGATGATACGGTATGGTTTTGTTTTCTTGGCTCCATATATCGCTGACAGAAGCCTCTTAGGTTATCGTACAATACTTATCGCCGCGGGCTTTTCAAACTGTAGGTCTTCCTCTGTTCATCTCTCGCCGTGCCTCATTTGTTGCAGACAGGACGAAGACTATCGCTGGGCTGTCCTGCGCACCAAAGTCCCTGCATGGTTCTTCCAAGTCATCAACCTTACATTCATCGCTGCCACTCAAAACGTCCTCTTACTACTCCTTGGCATACCTGCAAGAATCGCATCTACCCTTCAGCCGCACAACGCGCTCGCTCCCTCAGATTATATGCTGGCTGCACTAGCACTGGTTGACCTGGCTTTTGAATTTACCGCTGACAATCAGCAATGGGCGTTTCATCAGTTCAAGCATGCGTACCTATCTGCTGAGAAGGGAAAGAAGTCTGACGCCAAGCCATATAACAAAAACGAGCAATGGCTGGGTGCTGGATTGGATTTTATTCCAGCAGATGCGAAGCGCGGATTCATTACACGCGGTCTCTGGGCCTATTCGCGCCATCCCAATTTCCTCTGCGAGCAGTCCTTCTGGGTACGTACCTCTTCCTTTCTACACACTCTCATCGTAACAAAATTCAAACAGTGGATAGTCACATTTATCCCCCTCCTTTCCCCTTCCCCTCCGCACCTTCACTTCAACACCTCTTTTTCCATACACCTCATCCCCTCCCTCACCGCCATCCGCCAGGACTTCCCGAACGCGCTCTACCCCTTGTTAACTCACTTTTCGACTCCCATGGCCGACATTGCACCTGCTCTCGCACTTTCATTACTCTTCTACTCTTCCACCTTGTTCACGGAGTCAATCAGCGCGAGCAAGTATCCGAAGGAGTACAAGGCGTACCAGAAGCGCGTGGGCATGTTTAGCCCGCTTCATACGCTCGAGAAGGGAATCATGCTTTCTCTCCGTGGGCGCAAGGCCGAGACAGAGCAACTGGTGTGGGGAGAAGGGGAGAAGGGGAAAACGGAGTAGGCTTGCTATGAAATTTTTGCATGGACGGATAATCAGTTTTTTTTGCATGTGTAGTGAATGTGTATTCCATTGAACATTTCGCAAGCTCAGGAAACGATCTCGTTGTCTACTGCACGGAATTTGTTGTCGTCAACTTACATTCTCACCTTTCATATCATTTAAAACAGATAGAAGTATGGCAGGTGTTTATACAGTAGTGATGTACAGATTACATGGAGCGTATCGACGTGTTTGGTAGTGCAATAGACTAAGGTAGCAGGGGATTGTGAATGAGTGAGTATATCAGACGGATTGAACGCATATGGAGTTGAGAGATTAAGGGACAGCTCCGATCCGCAAGCCATCCTGTTATCGCGGGAGAATACAAGGTGCAGTCGTCAGTTGGGCCCCATAATGACCACTGCCGGGGGGAGGGAGAGGACTTACAGAGTCCAAAGAATCGGCCTCAGGGCGTCCTCATGCGAGCGTTATTTAAAACCACTACAGAAAATATGAGCCTTCGCCCGTGCAAACTAATCAACCGCACTTACACCGGGAATAATGGGCAGTTGTGCGTAAAAGGTGGACGAGTCGCTGAACCGGCTATCTGTCGAGCCGCGGCGCGGGCTTCGAGTTGGGGATGTCGATGACGGTGTGTATAATGTGGCAGAATTGGATATATTTGTTGTAACGAGGGAGAGTGGTGGTGGGCCGCTAGTCGATGGTGATGGCGGTGGAGGTGAAGCAGTATTCTTCCTCTCCTTTGAAGAGCCTTTGAACAAGAGCTTTAGGCGACGAGGTATGAGCTGCATTTCTGAGAGGTTGGTAATGGGGTTCCAAGAAGGATGGGGCAGAGCATTGGCATCACAGAGGGATCTTATACTTATGTACATACTCCTGAGCCGAAGAAGCAGGACCGGTCTAGTTCAATGCGAGCCTTGAGGCTTATTTACTTTGTTGATTGACGGACCCGAAATGGGTGAACCTTCGTGGACCCAAGGCATGTGAACAACTTTAATCCACCCAGATGGGTTCCCAACAGCAACAGATAGGGTCTAGGGGGTAGTAGAATCTCGCATATAGCCTCAGATGATCTATCCAGAAGAGAATCAGACTGGGTTTATTTTATGCAAGCCTCCTGATAATCGCGGGCGGTGAGATAACTTCGCAAGTATATATTCTCTTTACAAGGCAGCACAGAAGCACACCAGCTATTCAGTCAACCGCTTCTCACCGAAATGAGCTCATGGCCAGTGACATTGTTTCAGAAATAATGAAAAGGGCTGCTTTATCCAGTAGTGGCGTTAAAATGGGTTGCGGACAATTGTGGGATCGGATACGGCGCAGAGAGCTGAGAGCTGCCATATCAATACATGTTCTGGGTTCCATAGGGTTCAGCCAAGCCTTTGTTGAAAATTTTAGAAGGGATATACGTAGGCCTTGTGAGTGATATTAGAGAAGCCTTGATTTGAACTCCGCCCGCCGACTTGTTCACTTCTCTCTCAAACTCGCTGCGTTTGTTTCAAGCGATCCGATCTTCATTTATTCTCAGCGTATCAGCGCTGTGCTATATATTATTGCTCTAATATCATTGATGATCCTGGCGCGTTTTTCATCTTTCGAAGGGCTGACTATTAAATTCTTAGAACCATGAGTCACGGTCCTGCAAGGCTCACCTGGGGATGCGTTCACGATTACGCTCTTTGCTCATCTTGTCCTGTGTTCTCTATCTCCGGAGCTCTGCGTTCATGGTTTGAATCACACAAAGTGTCTCGAGGCCCCTTCACCAGCGAACTACATGCACTCGATCTGTACCGTAGTGCGAACCATCATGCGTGTCTTTATGGGTAGTGAAACCGTTACCACGGACGGCTCACAAAATACAGAATCAAGCTTGGGTATTCAGGTCAAGTTCCTCTGTGGCTTTGCCTCTGAAAGTGAAATACTTGTCCCGAAATCACCATCACGAGATTGCGCAACTTCAGTGTTATCTTTAAAGACACGGCATGCTGTCACGAAACTCGAACCTAGAGAGGCTTCCTCCGAGATTCGTGGCACGAAGGCTCGTTTCCTTGTGAAACAAAGCATCAATGTGACAATGGTCTATAAAAACAACGGTTGAATCCACGCTAGTATTCTGACGCCGCGTGAAAAAATAACTCATAGGCTTCTGAAATCTCACGTCTTGCGCTGCTTCTTCCGACAGTTTCGCAAAGCTGTGCGCATGCGTTCACCTCTGAGCTCATGATATGTCAAGAGTGATCAAAATTGCAGTGACTATTGGCAGGTACTGAACTGTTTGGTTCTCTATGCTCCAAGCAAACTCGTCCATACATGTGCAAATAGAATACACTTCCTTCACGCGCCCGGGCGCGACACAGCCCTTTACAT